GAAGTTGTGTTACCAGTAAGCAGCCAATAAGGAGGTGCCAATAAGCAGCCAACGGGAAAGCTGCGTGATGGCGCGAAGGGGCAGCCAATGAGAGGGTGTGTAATGTAGCAAAATGCAGCAAATAAGCAGCCAATGAGGTGCTGAGCAGATGGGCAGCCAATGAGGAGCTGTCGCTGCGAGACGGGACTGAGGGACTGCGCGTGCTCCGAGAACAGGCTGAAAAGTTCAGAGAGGAAGAGTTCGAGCCTTCATCCCCACGACCACCGGGGACGACCACCAGAGAGAAGTATGCAGATGACAGAAGGCGTGTCCCAAGATTTAAATAAAACATCACCCACTCTCAGAAAGGTTATGAATATGTAAAAATATGCTATGAATATATGAGCTAACTGTATAAAATAGAAGTTGGGGAGGGGGAGCAAGTGTGTGTTAGGCAGAGCTATCCCCCACAAATCTGGCACTGAAATAAACAAATACTGGCCTAATAGTACCTGTGGCTATTGAGTTTTACCGCCACCACTTTTTCTTGGCATCAATACCCACTCCAGCCACTTTCTTTGGCCCAAGTGTCTATAAGATTGTTTTGGAAATGAGTCCTTTTGTCTGACTTAATTCTTTCGGAAATATCATGTTTCAAGGCCCAGGACACTGTGTCTCCAACCATCCAGTGATTGCTTCTGCTATTTCAAGCATACAGCACTTGCTTTGGTGGGTTTGTGGGAGTGTGAGATAGTCAATCTGCCAGGGATCCCCAAATTTATATTTCAGCCATCGTTCTCCATAGCAGAGAGGCTTAAAACACTTGACTTGCCTATCTGCAGTGCATGTTTCACATTCATGGATAACCTGTTGTCATGGGTTTACTCTAGCCCAATTTTTCAAACCCCCACAAAATTCCTGAAAGGTTGGGAAAGGTCCACAACAGGCAAAACAGACTCAATGTGAGGAATAATATTAAAATTTATTGCTAACAGAATAGAAACTAAAAAGTCATGAAATATACAGTATTAAACACACTTCTACCACCCCTTGGCCCCCTGGCCAATGCAGGAGGAGAAACTCTCAGGGCAATAGCTAAAGTCTCTCTTCCAATAGGGGTGCAAGGGGTCTCTGCACCCCCTGAGTTCCTTTCATGGGCTGCGAGGGGACAACTCACTACACCATGATCTTCACCACACATTACAGGGAGTTAAAGCTCTGAGTTTTCTCCCTGTTCCATGGGATCCCTCCCAGGGGAATAAGCTCTCGGAGGACCCCTCCATGTCAGGTCTACCCCTCCCCTGGGTCGCAGGTTCTGGGGTTTGCCGCAGTCTGAGGTAGGAAGGGGATTGTGACAGCCAGTGGGTTCAGGCGAAGTAAAGGAGGGACACACACTGTCACGTGGTGGAGCAATCACCATGCTATCATACTTTATTGAGGCACGGGTCAGATTTATATAGAGCCAGGATGGAAGGTGCTGGAAAGGAGGGAGGAGCATGGGACTGGTAGGGGAAACAGCCAACCGGGGAAGGAAGGAGGGAATATAGAATCAACAGGAACCAATGGGGAGAGTATCTGCAATGCAGTAGATGGGAACCAATAGGAAAAATGGAGGTATTTGTGAGGGGAAAATACATTGAAATTGGAAAAACTTGGAATAAAACTGTCCGAACAAGTTCTTTGGTAAAACCTGGTAACAATAAACAGTCCTTTTCTGTATTAGTCCTTGGTAACAATGTCACATAGTATCAATCCCAAGCAGGTGCTTGGCCATTTCTGCTTCTTCCTGCACCTGCCTCAGCTCCTGTTGCCATCTTTGCAACAGTTCTTTTCCTCAGCGAGTGCCTTCCTCAGGGGTTCATCTCAGTCTCTTTATACCCAGATAATTTTCACCAGAGTTCTACCCAGAATAAACCTGCTCAGTGTGGCTTCTCTCTCTCTCTCTCTCTCTCTCTCTCTCTGTTGCAAATCCAAGCGGTGGTGGTAGCTGTGCTTCTCTTCTTTGTTCCACTCTGCTCCGCTCCACTCCCGACATGCTCCGTGCCATGCACTACTGCCGCTCCGGGCCTGCTCTGGGCTGCTCTGCTTTGGGTTGTGTATTGCTGCCGCACCAGGCACCACAGAGCCTGGCCAGGCTGCCACCACCTCTCCCCGTGGTGGGGGGAAGTGGCGAGGCTGGCCGGAGAACTCCTGGGCAGTTTCTCTCTTGCTCTGTGGAATTTCTTCTCAGCTCTGCTGCACGTCTCAGCCAGGGGCCTGGCTTGGCCTCAGTGCCACGCCTGCTCCTGGACCAGGGCCGGGGGGGGCCCGGCCCCCATGGGGCCTGGCGGCCCCTCTGCCAGCTTAGTGGCTCTAATTTCTTCTGCACCACAAGCCTTCTCTTCCAGCTACTTAAATATGTAATTTGCAGAGGCGTTACAACAGCTTCTCATTGGCTCAGCACGAGGAAATCCACCTGGAACTAAGCATCTTCAGTTCCAGGGGAGGGCTAGTAAACCCAAGACACATGTGTGACAGTGTCCATGGTTAAGTCCATCCCTCGATCATGAGCCCATTGATATGTTGCATCTCCTGCTTGATGGCCCAAGCTGTCACAGGCCCACTGAGACAGAAATTACTCATCTTTATGTTGCCAGTCTAAATCCACTTCACTGTTAGCAGCTGGAGACACCTGTTGATTAACTGGGTGTTCTCAACTCTCGTGTACATGAACATGATTCACCTTTACAAACAGGTTCTCCACCCAGGCAACAATATCATGCCACAATGTGCCAGCACAGATGCATTTACCCCTTGTGCTGGTTTTAAAACTCAGTGGGAAAGCCAAGCCCACTCAAACTGCCCCATTTCAATACTGGAGGAAAAAATACTAGGAAAGATAATAAGATGGGGTCACAATTTGTTGAGAAAATTGCAATAAACACAACAATAATAGTAAAAGCATTTTCCACAGCTTGTACAGCTACTTGCACTCTCTCCTGCTTTCCTACAGTACAAGGATGCATCATTAAGCAAGGCATAATGTTTCTCACTTTCAGATTATTTATTATATCAGGTGGGTCTTCAGCACTCTCACCTCCTCCTCTGCAAAGAGCACAAGGATGTCATTAGTCAAGTCAATGTCACAAGTCATTCTCTTCCAATCGCTTTGTTGATGCCTGCTTCCCTAGAAAGTGACCCCAGCTGTTTGGCTTCATTATCCTCCAATTCCAAACCGCTAGTCACATTATCCCACCATCAGAGCAGCCAGGTGACAATGTGCTTACCTGGATGGTGGCTGAAATCTTTCCATCTCTCCTGCAGCTCACTCAGGGGTAGAGATCAACTGGATATCTCTTGTTCTGCCTCTTCCTTCTGCTCCTGTGATAGCCTTGCTTAGCCTGTAAAACGAGAAGATGCAAAAAAGGAGCTCCAGAGTCAAAGACACATCCTCATGGAGGTACAGTCAATGCTCTAACTTTATTCCAAAAATACACACATTATCAAGGGTCCTACAGGGTTCACACGCTCTCTTCTAACTTTCTATTTGTTACATTCACTTTCACACACGATATCTATAACTTTATTGGCTCTACTAGCCAAGGCACATTTCCAGGTCCCCCCATCTTCTGGTTTCTCACACCCTGGATAACAACCTCCTTCCTTGTTTTCCTTTATGCAGCTTTCTGATATCTGCTGCTCAAGGACACAGATCTGCTGCTGGAGAACACGGGTCCCTGCCGTCCAGCACGCAGGCCGGATTGTGCAAGCAGGCCTGAAGCAGTATATGTCCTGCATCATCTGAGATTCTCTCAACAAGCCTGCCTTGTCCTCCTTTACTACATAAGATGCCTTTCATGTCCATTTCTTTTTGTGTACAGGGGCAACTGATACTGGCACAGTGGTTCAGGTGCAGGGGCTCTAGCTGTGCTGGTCAGTTCCAGAGATTTTCCCTTCCTCCCACAGGCCCTAAGTGGGGCTGAACATGACTTGAAAGCCTGGGCCAGGCCCTAACATGGTGCAATGACTTGTGTGCCTCTGAAAGCGCAGTTGGGCTCAAAGCTCTTAAAGGGTCTTGGCCAACCTCAATGATTCTGTGGTGTTACCTCTACTTGGGACCTCAAGTCAACAGGAGACTTGACACAGATCCACTTACTGACACCCACACACCCTTTCTGCCTCCAGAAGGCTTTGGACAAGTGGATGTACAGTTCTGCATATGCTGAACTGGCAGAAATAAGGCCCCCTGTGCCAGGCTTGGTGCATTTGCATGTTGGAGTAAGAGAATTCCCAAAGCAATGCTGTAAAGACTGTCTGTGTAAATCCACACAGCAGAGAGCTGGGAAAGAATACTTCTGTGTTGGTAGCTAATATGCAAAAATAATTTTGCCTGGCAATTGGCACCAGACAATTGGCTTCATAGCTCAGCGATGGCTTTAAAAAATGTTAAGAGGTACAAATAGAGAGACACAATAGACAAAAAGTTAAAAAGAATGACCTCATGATTTTTATTAGAGGTTTTAAAAGGGTTAATGGAATCAGAAACAGTGTGTGTCACACTTGCTGGGGAGAGATGATAAGGAAAAGAAAATTACTTCAAAATAGAAAGTGAATACTACCAGCATTAGAAATTCATCCTTTTAACCTCTGTAACGAATATTTCGAACACTTGGGAGGGTGGGGCTAAGTTGATTTTGTGGCCTGACGTTATGTTTTTAGCCATAATAGCTTTTTAGTGGTTCCAGCCTGGAACTGGAACTAGATATATCTGTCCAAGGATGAGGTGCTGTTTGGTTCCATCACTGCACACTTTCATGTCATGAATTTGTGTTTGCAGGATTCACTTCTGCACTGGGTGCACAAAGTCACCTAAGCCAAAAACCACTGTTTCTGCACTGTGCTGCTCACAGCACAAATGTGCCCCTGGAGTGAAATGCAAATGGTCAAGTATAAATTGCAGTGGTTAAAGGTTCAAAGTCTATGAATATCTAGGGCAGCATGAAATTCTACTGTGCATCTTGAGAATGAAGAAACATTTGTAATTTTAAGTTTCATAATGCTGAATTAAGTTTTATTACCCATTTCTTGTGATGCTACATATTTTTCTGTAATACAAAGTATTCAGTGATATTATCACCCTTTTACTACAGCAGAATATGCAGTTGGACACTCTGAGGAGGACAAAAGCTTAATGAAGCTTTAGTATAGGCTGTAAAGACTCCTGGAGAAAGAGTCAGGCTTGGTGTGTTGTTACTTTGCTGTAGATTCAAAGAATATAGACCCATACTAAAAATGACCAACTAGTCCTTCATAATTAGAAGAGCAGAAATGTACTGTTTGACACCCAAACTGGTGTGGTAACACTGACTTTATTGAAAGTTAATTCTCTTTGATATTATCTTCTTTTTAATCCATATTTTAACAGATCATCAGATATTGTATATAACTGTATTGTATAATAACCCTTAATATTTAAGCAGTGCTTTCAGATTGTGAACAAACAGCAGGTTTTCTTGTAAGTGCCCCTGGCCTTGTACATTACCATCAACAGCTTCTAAAAGGGTTAAAGATCAGTGTGAGCAAGGCTTTGCTGATGATTAGGACACATTAATGGAAAACAACCATTATCACCTCTGAAATGTACCTCTACATCATACTAATGCATTGTAATTTAATGTAATTAAGTTATACGAGCTGAAGATGTTCAATTTTATTATAAACATCCATTTTAGGAGGCTGCTCAGCAGCTAAAAATGGATGCTTGCATATGAAAGTACTCAAAACCCATAGGCTGAATCCTGGAAATAAATTCCAAACCTGAGCCCTAGTTCCATTCCATGGTATAATCAGAAAGCTGACAGATGAGGTGCAAGGCCATGCAAGGTGGGAGGAAGAGGAGAAGGCTCCACATTATGGTATCAGAGGTAGATTTATGTCTCCTGTGGAACACGTCAGCCTCTAGCTATGACGCAACCCCAGGGCAGTGCTGTCTCTCTTATTTTTTTAAAGTCATAAATATAATAATAACAAAAAAAATACAGAAAAATAAAATTATTTTCTTAGGTGTTTATAATTACAATTAGTTTCTTTCAATAAATATTAAGGCTACTGTAAATCTTATCATCGACATCAGCCTGAAGGCTTTGACAGAGTTATTGTAGCATCAAAAGTTTAACAATCCACTGCTTGGTTCTGGGGAAAGCATTTTCCAGGCTGGAAAGATGTGTACACTGCTTTTTGCGAAGGGTAACCTTTTCTGGGCTTAGTGCAGCTGGCTGGCACAAGAAAGAGCAATGGCTACACTCTCCATTATTTAAACCATTCAAGGCTCTAATCCAGAAAGCAGAATCATTTGTTTCTTCATGGTATATAAACATATACCATGGTATATTAATCAAGAAATATGGCTTTTGTATTATTCCCTGTGCTTGGTATATGAAAGATGCTTGATGCCTGATCATTTTGTAGTTCCTGTCTGTGAAAATAAATCTAAAAGTAGTTGAGTTTTATTTGAATCTATGTTGTTGTTGTTGTTATTAATATAAAGGAATCTAGTTGCTAGATGCTTAAGGTTTGTTTCTTGTTTGGGAGGTTTCTTTTGATAATTTCTTTGTTTGTTTTTCAGGGAAGCTGCATTAATAAATGCTCCCCTAAAAAAATCCCATAATAATAAGATTGCAGCCTGGAACCATATTACTAAAGGAGTGAGATCAAGCTGATCCAGTAAGATCTCACCATAAAATCTTCATTCCTCTGCTGCTGAGGGGAAGAAATGCATTTTCTTCAGCTGAAAGTGTAATCAATTATTTTGAAAAAGAAACTTCTCATACACTCTGTATCTGGTGTATATGCAGTAAGAGCAAAGTTTCTATAGCTTGCTATAGCTGTCCTGCTAGAAGCAATAGTAAAAGTCTCTTCAAAGAGAAACAAAATAAAAATAAATCTCTATTATTATGATGTTTATCCATTCTGCCAGTGACATTTTCTCTTATGTTTTGGCTGAAATCATAGTATGAATAATTTTGTGCCAGCAAATTTCACAGTAAGAAAAAAGCAACCATATTGGAAACCAGTTGTGCTGCTTCTCAGTACCACCTATTTCCTTGGGGGTGACTTTTTGTCTCTGAAGGAAATGGAGAACCATGGAACACCTTTACTGGATTGTGGTTAAAGTTGTTGCCACATTTACAATAAAGGAAGTAATTTGATGCTATGAAGGTCTTTGTGCATTGATTTTGTATAAAACAAAGTAGTTCAGGAATATTCTATGTAGCTAATTGAGTATCCTGTGTTTTTTCCTTCTTTCCTTCCACCTCAGGAGTTTGATATCAGAGACTATGAAAAAACAATCTTAACAATAAACAAGACAAAAACAAAATTCTAACAATAAGCAATACAATAAACCAATCCTAACAATAAAGAAGGCACAAACCCCCAATCCGAACAATAGCTAAGACATTAAACCACTCCTAACAATAGCCTCTACATTAAACCAGTCCTAAGAAACCAGACCAACTCAAAGCACATTGCCCGGCCAAGGGAAGCCCTCGAACCCCCCAGCTCTCCCATTGCCCCCGGAGGGGCTGCGGGCCCCCAAGCGCTCAGCGGGGCAGGAGGCGGCTGCAGAACTCCTGCCGGCTGCACTCTCCCGCCCGGAGCCTGCTCTGGCAGCGGAACTGGCGCAGCTCCTCCTGGAAGGTCCCGTGCTCCATGGGCCTATAGTCCTGGGGTTCGCAGTGTGTCTGGGAAGCCACGGCCCTGTCACCGACCGCAGCGCAGCCTCCGGCCCCCACCCAGCCCGGGGCAAACCCAGCGCCCCCGCTCCCCCGGCCCTGGAGATCCTGCCCTCACGGAGGATGGTCAGAGCCAGAGCTCCCTCTCTCCGCTGGGCTGGGCAGGGCACACGAGGTTCCAGGGCATTCTCCTCTCATGTCCCCAGGCCTCCCCCTGCTGACAGGGACACAGTGGAGGCACTCACCGGGTACTGCAGGAAGAAGTCCCGGTACCCCCCCTTCAGGACATAGAGCTCAGGGTAGTGGAGCTGGGGGTACTCGTGACAGGAACGATCCTTCTCCCTGAGGAACCGGCACCTGGGACACAGGGAAAGGCCATGGGATCATCCCGTGCCGGGATCTGTGCGTGCCTGGGGGGCTGGCAGAGCCCAATGCCTCTCCCCTCCCCCCCTCGTTGCCCCACTCACATTTTGGGCCCTCGGTGAGCAGAGAACTCGCAGTGGAAGATGATGATCACCCTCTTGCTGGTGTCCATGGGCAGGATGGGCTGGTCCAGCAGGAATTGCTCCACATCCTGATGCAGGGGCAGGTTGACAGCACCCTGGGGAGGGACAGGAGGCTCCTTTTTCCCCTTCTGCCTCCCATTTCATCTGCAGGGACATAAGGATGCTTCCCCCAATCTCCCCCTGCCACCACCATCCTCCAATCTACTTGTGCACCATCCCCCTCCTCCTTCCAATTGAGGATCAACCCCTCTAAGTGGGCTTGGCGCTGCTGAGGGGCCTATTCAACCCCTCTGGGGAAACCTGGTGACCCTTGGGGGAGCTCTTTAACCCTGTTGGGGTAGTCTCAGCACCTCCTGGGGGGACTGCTCAACCTTAAGTGGGGGTCTCAGCACCTCTGAGGTTTGGTGGGTTTCAGACACCCCCTTCCTCCCAGCCCCAGGGGGCATAGGAGCCATTCTGACCTTGATGTGGCCCCCCTCGTACTCATAGGGGTACCGACAGTCCACGGTGATGCTGCTCTCGATGAAGCTGCTCCACTGCCCAGTCAGTACTGCCACCAACTGCAGGGGGAGTCCGTCACCAAGGGGGAACACCTGGGGGGTGGTGAGGGAGCAGGCAGGCAGCCCCACGGGGGGGCTGGGCAGAGGCTGCTGCCTCCTTACCGTGTCAGGGGAGATGTACTTCAGGCTTGGGTCCTTCCCCTTCACCATTGGCAGGAGGTGAGCCTGGAGGAGACCATGGGCTCTGGAGTCATATCCATCCCAGGGACACTTCCTAGAGGGTGCCACTTGTTCCCCCAGCCCAGAAGCCCCCCCAGCTGCCAGCTCTGTTCCCAGGGGAGGGGGGCAGTCTGCCCAGGGCAGACGTGCCTGTGGCACTGGGGTGGCTCCAGAGGAGCAGGGATTTGGCTCTTCATCCACTCTGCAGGCTGCAGGCTGGGAAGTCACAGCCCCAAGGCCCCATGTCCCCAGGCAAGGGCCACCAGGTCAGTTTGGGCTCTTGTGCCCATGCAGGGCTCTGATGGTGGTCCCTGTTTCAGATTAAGGTGGGCAGCACCCCCAGACCTGCCCCATCCTCATGGCCCTACCTTGGAGAAGTCCCCAATGAGCTCCTGATCGTTGCTGTCCAGCAGGCTCCTGATCTCCTCATGCTGGGCAGACCTGGAATGCTGCAGCCCCTCTTCCTGTAGGGATACAAAGCAGAGTCCCCCTGATGTGAACAGGGGCTCCAGCAGAGCCGGGGCATGGCATAGTCCTGGATCCATAGGGACAGGTTGGATCTCCCACCAGGGCTTCCCCGTCACCCACCAGCTCCAGCGACACTTCCTCGCAGGGGGTGTTGGCCACCCTCCTGTGCTGCTTGGCCTTGACAGGGGTGTCCCCATCACAGGGGTGTCCCCGCTTCAAGATGGGCCTGATGGCCCTGCTGGTCCCCGAGGGCGAGCAGAAGAGCTGCCGGCACTTGCTGCACTTCCCCAGACACTGTGGGGAGAGCCCGTGTGGCTGCTTAGGGGTCCAGCAAGCCCCCAGCACCAGGAGGGCAGGGGACGAGGCCCCACCTGGAGAACCCTGTGGGTGCAGCCTGGGGCTCTGTTCAACCCCCAAGGCCCCCACTTACGAGCTCTGCCTCCTCCTTCCTTGTCATCCTTGTGGTCAGCACATTCTCAGTCCTCTGGGTCATGGTGGCATCACTCTGCCAGGGTGGCAGCCGAGGGAGGGACGGGGGAGAGCAGAGGAGATGGTGAAGGGAAGAAGTCCTTCTGGCTGCTTCCCAGCCCCAGGCAGGGATGGATCCCATGCCCAAGGTCCATCCATCTCCACAGGCACAGGAACTCTGTGAGAAGCTCAGCAGTGGGGCCAGCCCCATGCCTGCCCGATTTGGAGACCGGGTGTCCCTGTGACCCCCCCAGCCCCTTCATCTCCAACATTCACAGGTCTCCAGGGCAGGCGGGGAGGTTGGAGCAGCAGCTCCTATTTCCAGCCCCAGGATCCCCCAGCCCCGGGTCCCTCTTGAGCCCTCCAGCCCCTCTCACCAGCAGGCTGGATGTGGAGCAGGGTCTCGTGGCCAGGGCGTCCCTTCTGGCAGCCCCATGGCCGGCAGCTAGATGGCTCTGCTGACCCAGTGTCGGCAGCTTCTTGGGGACAAAGCCCTCCTGCGGTGGGGGGGCACAACGTTAGCGCCCCTCTGCCCCTGCCCTGCACTCCCCAGGCCTCGCTGCCCCCCTCACCTCATCCTCAGACTCCCTCCGGCCCCTCTGCACTCGGCCCCTGCAGACGTTGAACTCCCCGGAGTGGGAGACGACCTTCAGGATCGTGCTGGATTCCAGGAGACACGGCTGTGGGACAGGGGAGGGCTGAGAGGTGCTGCACAACCCCCCCCTCCCCCCGGCTCCATCCTGCTCCTCCCAACTCCGTCAGGGATAGAGCAGGATACAGCCTCCCAGTGCTCAGCCCTGCAGAGCCTCCAGGACTTACCGGCAAGGAGCGGATCCTCCGCAGATGGAGCTTTGCGCTGCAAGAGCAGGGAAAGAAAAGGATTCAATGAGAGCAGGTGTCCTGGACCAGCAGTGTGCCACCCCTCTGCCATGGTCCCCTGTGTCCCCCAGGTCCTCCTAGAGGGGTGAGACCTGCCCAGGGCTGTCCTAGCTCCCCAAAGGGACCCTGGGACAAAACCACATCCAGGCACTGAGCAAACACCGATGGACAGACCGGGGCTCCAGGAGGGGAATGGGGACAGCCTGGGTTTTAGGTCTGGGACAGGGACAGCCTGGCTTTTGGGACTGGCGCAGGGACAGAGACCCTTCACTTACCCTTGGAGAACTCTCCTGGAATTCAGGATTCCTTTCTCGAAGCTGTGGGCACAGGAGAGCTGGGCTTTGGGGGGGTGGCACCCCACGTCCCAGCCCAAGCAGTTCAGGTTCTCACCCCCCAGAAAGAGCTTGGGGGAGCACAGCTGGATGCTCAGGCCTCCAGCAAGGCTGAGCCCGGGCACTGCTGCCCGTGGGAGGCAGGGGAAGGCGAGGGGGTGTCCCCGGGGGGGGACGTGGGGATGGAGCACTCACGCTTCCTCCGCCGCCGCCGAGTCGTGCTGTGTGAGGGAGTCCAGCCTCAATCCTGCGGGAACAAGGGGCAGGGGTAGCCCCGGGGTGGGGATCGGGCTCCTGCCGCCACCCCAGGGCCCTTGGCAGGATCCGGCCGGGCAGGGAGCCCCCCACATCTCAGCTGTGCTCCCTTCTGTTCCAGCCAGGGCCGGAGAGGGGCCACGGCCAAGGGCAACGGCTGTGCCCTCACGGGGGGCCGTCAACCTGCCCTCCAGGATCACAAGACGGGTGGCACCGGTCCCACATGGAATGTCCCGTGTCCTCCTGGGCAGGGACCGCAGCGGGGTGCTCCGTGGCTGAGTCCCAGAAGCCCCCGCCTCAACCTCCCTCGGCAGCCACTCGGCCAAGCTCTACCTCCATATCCAGGGACTCTCTAACACTCCCCCCAGCACCCTGTGCCAGACCTCCGGCTCGGGGGGTGGTGGTGGGCGGTTGTAGGGGCGCAGCAGCTCCATCACTCACCGGCATCCGAGGGCTGGGAGCAGACGGAGTCCCGGGCACAGGGCGAGGCCACCGGCTGCGGGGACAGGGTGGACGAGAGCCGCGGGAGGGACAGCCCCCCGCCTCGCCGCTTCGAGGTGTCCCAGAGCCTGAGGACGGTCGGGAGGGGAAAGGTCAGTGCTCCGGGGTGCCCGTCGGCCCTTTCCCGGGGGAGTGAAGGGAGGGGGGGTTCCTAGATCCTCCAAGCGGCCTGGCACGGTGCCCTCCATCCCCGAGCCCCACGTGGGGGCAGCCCATTTCTCCCGTATCGAGGGAGTCCCGCGCGGGGCGGGCGGCCAAAGCCCCTCGCAGCCCCCCAGCGCGCCCCAGCCCCTCACCTGCCCGGCTCCGCCGGGTGTCCCGCGTCAAGCGACAGCGGGGGGAGCGGGGACACCCCCGGGGACGTGCCCGCCAGCCCGGGCAGCCCGCGGCCGCCGCATAGCGCCATGGCAGAGGAGGGATCGGGCGAGCGAGTGTCGGTCTCCGGGAGCGCCTCGCCGGGAGCGCAGCGCGGGCTGCGCCGGGGCTGCGTCCGATCCAGAGCCGGCAGGAGACAGGGACAGCGGAGAGTGACAGGTGACAGGGGAGAGTGACAGGTGACAGGGACAGCTCAGAGCTGTCAGTGGCAGGTGACACGCTCAGCTCACACTCCTCTCACACTCGGCTCACACCCGTTTCGCTCTCGTTTGGAACAACAACGAAACAACAACAACGAAATAACAACACCGGGGACCCCGCAGCCAATGAGAGGCCGCGTCGGGGCTTGAGGGCGTGGCCACGGCGGAGGGGGCGGAGCATAACAGAAAAGGAGCGTGCTCGGCCCGGAAGGGGCGGGGCCGCAGCGCTGGGGGCCCGGCCGCGGGTTCAAGGAGCCGCTGCCGGGCTGGAGGTGCGGCTGTCCCGGCTGTGGGGCTTCGGCACAGCCCCTCCCTGCCCACGCCGGTTTTTTCTTCTATTTTCCCACCCAGCCTGGATGTTCTGGGCTGGGATTTACACCAAAAACGCCCCATTAGAGCTTTCCAGCCACGGAAAACCTGTTTTCTGTCCTATGAGGCTTCTATGGCACAGCTGGTTTTTGCCAAATCCTTCTTGGCTGTTGCTGGTTATTCACAGGGGTTGTGTCTTTCTGCTATGCATCGGGTAGGCTCGGCAGGATTCCAGTATTCCAGGGAAGGGATGATGCAGGGAAGTGGGAAGCAGGGGTCCTGTACTGGTGCTGGCCCCAGGCAATCCTGAGGTAGCATCATCCTTGGCCTCACATGTTGCCTAACACTGTAATTCAAGTTGTTCTTAAGGGTCTTTCTATTGCACCTGTTGGATAATAATGAGAACTGGAAGGCAATTGCTCTGGGAAAAATTAGTATCTTGTCCTTGGAAGTGACTGTTACTCAAGAAAGCAAAGCTGAAATCTTGGAGGTGGAATTTTTTTTTGTGGAGTTTCTTTTTTTGTGAATGGTCTTCTCTGTTTACCTGCAGAAAACTTTCAGTTCTGTTCTAAACTTTAAAAAAGAAGAAAATCAACAAAATTCCACATGTGCCTAAATGTACTTGATTTCTTTGCTCTTGCTATTGTGCCCTTGACACGAGGCCCTGGTGTTTTATTTCCAATCTGCCTCAGTTTCCCCACAGAGATGCTGAAGCAGCTGGAAACTTTTAACAAAGTGAGCAAGTTTGAGCTGTCTTCCCGCCAAGTCTCCAAACGCTCAGTGAAAGCTCCTCCTCTCCCTCCCTCCCTCTTTGGGCAAAGAGAGGAAAGGAAAAAAAAAATTATAGAAACTGAGAGAAACCCAGATCAACCGGATTATATAAAAAAATATATATTTACAATTATATATATACAATTTGAATATATTATACACAATGGGGAGCTCCCAAGGGGGAAAACGGAAAAGGGAGGGGGAAACAGGGATAAAAGAACTAAAACCAAATATCTTCTAAATATACACCTTCAATAGAGAGCTAGCGAATAAATACAAAAACAAATTAAATACTTCCCTGAACGGGACAGTAGAACTAACTCCCCACAGCTCCCAAATGGAACGGAGATAACGGCAGGTCGGAGCATGCAGGCTTTGGCCTATACAAGCAAAACCATCTGCAAGAGGGACCTGTCGTCTTCAGCCACCAGAAGAGCGAAGAGAGTGAAGGCCTCTTATCTGCGCCTTTTATATGTTGTGTTACGGAAAGGAATGATATGGAATACTTCCTTAGATTTCTGACCCCGTTGCTAAGGAAGGCCTAAAAAATCCAAGAAACCAACCCACTACACAAAGGTAAAGTCTTTGGGAAAAATACATAATCTGGAATCAATCCCAAGTATTTGACTGTGCCTAGCTCTTCTCTCACCTGGAGATCACACCTGCCCAAGAAGTTAAAACCCACTAGTGTCCCCCAAGGGTGATGGTTAATTATTTGTACACTGCACATTTCAACACAAATTCTAACTGGAATTTTCTCCAGCAAAGTAATTTCTTTTCTAAAAACTCTGGGCTTATGTCTTGATCTTTTAGCTGCTTCCCTTGCACAGTGGGAGTTCCCAAGTTAGATCTAGTCCTAGTTAACTCAGATACAGCTTTGAAATCCAAAGGAAAGGGGGCAAAAACTGCAGCAGGATTTTGATGAGTTTGTGAAGGCCTTCACAACTCTTCAACACTCAGGGTGTTTTGAATTTTCAATTTTAATATGTCAATGTTTTGGAGTTTTTTGATTATTTCTAGGGGTTTCTTTTGCCTTACAACAGCTGTTAGACACAAGCAAGGGATAAATGAAAAGCTCGGGAACGACACAGCGCATCCTTAAGAACTTTTATTAGTGTGGCACAGTGCAGACCGGAAGCAGAGTCACGAGTCTTAAATATCCCCAACTTCAGTCTCCGGGCTGTCTCTGCCTCCAGGGCCACACCCCAGAGCCGGGTTTTGGTGTTGGTAGGAGACCTTCCTCTGGCAGCCGATGGGAGGAGCTGTAACACGTGTAAGGATGTGCAAAAGGCTATTCTGCAGAGGGAAGGCAGAGGGAAAGCCACGGAGACACTTGTCATGACAGCCCTGGCTGCAGCAGACCCGTGAGACGCACCTGCCTGTGCCTGTTCTCTCGCAGGGCAGGAAAATGAGACTGTTCCCTGCAGCGTTAACTTCGGCCCTATTTCTGCATTCCCTGCTGGAGTGCGAGGAACAGAAGGACTAGAAACAGTGCAAAACAAGATTTAAAAAAAAAAAAAAGAGTCTACCTCTGGACCTGAACTTTGATTTCGGCCAAGAGTCATTGCCCCTTCTCAATTTCCCCTTCTGTGATGGTAGCAGTGTCACTGTTACATTAAGACTTGTGTTTGTTCAGTCCAGGAGACTCCTGAAATTATGATATAACAGTACAGATACAATTGGGGGAATTGGGGGGGGGAGGGGAATAAAAAATTCTGTCCTAGTGTATTTAACTACAGTTAAGGCAGCATCCCAAATACCTGCTTTATTACCAGATGTGCTGGAAGAAGCAGCTAATCCCCAGTTTCTCAGCCTTTATCCACCCACAGATGACCTGTGGTTTTCCTACCAGGATCCGGCCTGAGCGAAGCCTGCACAGCCCCAGCTGAGGATAACTAAAGCTCACTATATTCCAGAACACTTAAGGCATTCACCACAATGTTAAAAATGCTAGCACATATGAACTCTTCAGAGAGTTACAGGCACTATGTGGAGGTTATGTGCAAAAGTCTGCAGAAATTTTTTTTTGGCATTGCTCTTCATTGATGGAATATATTTCTTGCAAATAGAAGCATTCTTTCCTTCTGAACACTAAAGGAAATTAAAAAAACAGTCAGACTATAATGAACTGACTGGGTAAGGGAAAGAAACAAACCACCCAAGCCTACTACTGGGGAAAAAGGAAAGATGAAAAAAAAGTCCAGCAAGTATCGCTGTACAAAAACCACCCAGAATAACCATGCGCTTTCAGCATCAGTTTTTGTTCTTCAGGAGTAACTATCCACCCACAGAAAGAAGACATTTTACACGATGTGCCAGGATCCTGGGGGGAAGAAAGCCAAAGAAAAGTCAGAGTGCTCATCTTCTGTGACCTAGAAATAAACCTCACAACATAAATCTGGGCTTAATAACATGAACATGAGTTATCTTCGTAGTAGCCCAGAGAAGAATAAATCTCACCTGATAATGTTTTAATGTTTAGCTTGTTTTCTGCCTCTCAGATTTGCTGCTGGAGGACTGTCCCTTTGCCTAAAGAGAGGATGAGATAGTGAGAAACTGTGAACTAAGCTAAAAATCTGAAATCAAACAATGACAGACACTCATCAGAATCACAGTTCAGACATAAATATGATCTCTGAAATACAGAAAATTTAGTCACAGCTCAGAACACCCTCCTGAAGAAGAGTTAGAGACATCCTCCAATTCTACAACCAGAATTCTAAGTCAGCCAGTTCTGTTGTTACACAAAAGACACCTGTGGCAATTTCACAATAACAATGAGAAATCTCATCACTTGGCATGCAAAACTTAAGATTTCCAGACCAAATCTAACCATCTGGTTCAGGCATCTATCTGCATATCCTTGTGAGAGAACAACGCGATGGGAGAAGTTTCACCCTTACCTGAATCCTTTTTCTGTACTTTGGGATGACAAAAGCCAAGCAACCCTTTTAATCTTTTTTCTCCTTTTTTTAATTTGAATATAGAAACAGCTGCCTGCCTTTTCCCATCAGATTCACTCTGCATATTTATTTATGAAGGTATGTAGGTCTTCATTAATTTAAAAAACATAAATTATGATAGTAACTTGAGTGTGGTTGCAGGAGTACTTTCTAATCACTTTTGGAATGCTGTTGCTCAAAACTGTCAAGGAAGAGAAGTGATGAGGATCCCACGTGAGGCAGCTACAGGCATGTGAAGTGGGACTCTTAGATCAGCAAACTGGGGAAGGAGAAGCCTGTGGAGCATGCACTGCAGAAGACCACATTCTCTGAAAGATATATATTTTTTTGCCCGTTTACTGGCAACTTCCCTTGAAACAGACAGGAGTCTTTCTCCTATGAGCGTGTTTACAAAAATTAATCAGTTTCGACCTATTGATGTAATATCCTCCTCAGAATAACAGCCATGTGACATGAATCTAAAATCCAGCTGCCCATCTCGTATGTTTACAGTGCCTGGTAACCATGACTGTCCACACTATAGTATGTGTTTTTATACCGTTTTAGGGTCTCTGGGTTTTCCTTTGTTCTTTGAGGTTGGTTTAGTCGTCGTGGTTTCCTTTCCACTTTTGTCCTACACTCCAAAGAAAAAAAAAAACAATTACAGTTACAAAGAGAATAGAGCATAAAAGCACAGCTAATCATAACCAACACCTAAAAATAGACAAACTCCTAATTCTTGGTGCTTTGCAGTGTAAGCTTACGGAAGCTGGTGCAGAATTTCACCTGGGAACTGGTTACATTTCCATAGCTCCATCTGACCACAGGATTTAATTTTTGGATAGCTACTATACTGGTTTGTTCAAAGATCTGTTGAATTCAAGCTTTGGTAATTCTTACTCCTCACAGGAGAAGCAGGAGGTTGTAGCAAGGAGTCATGGGAGTTGTAGTTTTCCGGGCTCTGACGCATGCTCAAAGAATACTTGATTGTCATTGGTTGGAAGATCATATGACATGTTTAAGCGCTGTATTTAAACCTAAGTGTTTTGAAAAAAACCTCAATTCTGCCCTGGCACTGGGTTGTGTCACTGGCGGGGTTCGTGCCTTATTCACCACCTCAGAAGGTACTGCAGCAGAAAGCAGGGAGGGATGAGCTGGGAGAGGCCAGCAGAAGATGACAGACAAGGGCAGCTGCTTTGCTCAGCAGAGTACAAAAACTATTATGAATAAAAAAAATGCAAACCATTCCTTCTGCCTGCAGGTGAGGTACCAGGGCATGGGCTAGAACACATTACACACATGCTGGGAGAAGTCTGAATGCTGTTTGTTAGTTGTGTTTAAGAGGATTATATGTCGAATAAATGCTCTATTTCTCATTGCAAGACCTCTCTAGTCCATACCTTCTGCATTTTTCTTGACAGCTCTACTGTTTTCCCTAACACACCTAAAACTCCCTCCTGTTACCAGCATTTCTGTCTACAAAACCCTCTTGAACTGCTGCTCAGCTCCAGCCTACAACCATTGCTAGGTAGTGCATGCCATCACTGATGAAAGGTTTCTTTGCCTCTCTACAGCTGGTGGATACTCTAATCTGTACAAAAACTGTTATCCTTCTTCTCTCCTCAACTTACCTCTCCAAGCCTGTCTTACCTCTCTAAAACGCTCTAAACAACACAAACCTGCCTTCTAACAAATATTTAGTACACAGCAAAATGCATCAAATCTCCATTTCCAGTAGTAAGACAATCCCTACATCTGCACAGGGCTCCTGTAAACCTAAACTGAGCTACTGCAGTGAAAAGTGAGAAGTGAAAAACTGTTTATTTTTCAAGTTATTAGCAGAAAATGTCCTACCTTTGAGTGCTGTGGTGTAGCAGGAGCATTTGCACAAGTGTCAAAGTCACCCGATAAGGCATCAATAGCTGCACTGTCATCTCTAGGCTTCTGCAATAATTTTGAAGTCACACAACATGCAACACTTCCCACAGTCCAATTCATGATTCAGAAATTTATGTCTGCTTTAATTATCCCTTTCTTAAAGAAAAGCACACCTGAACTCTACACATATGTTAGAGAGATGTCTATTTTGAGGATTCCAAAAGGCATGATTTCTCTGAGTACTGGACCTGAACACTCACAGTGAAGTTGTACAGAAAAGCTATATTTATTGTGAAGAGTTACTCCTCACAAAAGTTTTAGTGCCCACACTATTACTTACTGCATTCATGAGCATTTATGAGTATTTGCAGTGAATCACACCTTAAGCCTACAGTGACACTACTTTGAAAAAAAAATCAGAGCCCACAGCCTGACACAAACACAGAATAAATATAATGAATATATATACATATATATATATATATATATAAAATCCTCAATAAAACTCATCATAAATGTTACCTTTTGTCCTTTGTGGTTTATGTCCTCCTTTGCTGTTGGCTTTGCTGGTTTACCCTTGGGAAGAAGAAAGACTACATCCTTTATTTTGAACAGGTCAGATTAGTTTAAAACAAGTATTTACACACAGCATTGGGTGTTCACAGATTATCAAGGAAGTTGCACCATTCTGAACTTATTTCTGTATTTCTCCTGCCATGTATTCACAGCCAGTTCACACGGTGCTTTCATGGCTGTGTCACTTTAACCTTCCAGGACACTGATTGTTACTGGGTAGTTCAAAGTAATTATTTGTTCAGACTGCCCAATTAAAAAAAACAAGAACAAAACAACATTTTTTTTGTCGTTGTTTTTTGACTTACATGCATGCAAGGCTAGAGCTATCCTAACTACAGGATATTTCCATGTTTAGCCCTAATACATAAATACAGTACAGGCACTTACTCACTTATTCATCTTGTAGTTCCAAACAGGACAGAATGGCTCATAAACTCAAATTTCCAGAGTTGCAAATAAAAACTATTAAGGCTTTTCCTTACCTGATCACCTGACTCCAGAAGTTTTTGATAGTCAGGTGGTATGGTATCATCTCTTTCTCCAAGTTTTTCTCTGTGTTCAGATTTAACCTTTTCCTGAAAGCATTTAAATTTTTTAACAAATTTAATACTCACGTTAGAAATATTAGCAAAGAATAAGTGAGAGGGCTTCTTAAACTTGGGGCAGATGCCCTTTTTGACTTTAAAATTTTAAAACTACTGGTGAAGAAAGCATATATGGATTTCACTATGAAGTGAAGGTGGTTTTGTTTTCCCTTAGTAATGTTCTTTACCTTAGGTATTGCAGATTACAATTTACTGCTACTATTACATAGAAATTGATTTTCTTATTAACAGAAGGGTCTTTATAAAATTTTATGAAGAAAGACTGAATGAACACAAAATAAGCAGAAACAAGCAAGTTTAAAAATATGAGTGACTAAACGAACACATCTGTGGATGAACTCGGTATTTGTGGGTATAAAAGTCAAAACCTGATGAAAAATTCAGCCAGAAGATTAATTTTAGAAACAGAGGCCCAAGAAGACACATGAAAAATAATGAGAATAATCACAATAAAAAGCATTGAAATAAAATAGTTTCAAATTCCTGTAACACTTCAACACTTGTCTCCAAGTGGCTGAAGTATGTTAACCAATTCAGTATTTTTCACAAAACCCACAAGTAATCTAGCTGACTGAAGAGTGTTTGGTATGCCTACATGTGGGAAACTTAAGAGTATGGAGTTTTTTCTAATAACCTTACTCTTACTTCTAAAATCCTATGCCATACACTCCTACAGGTATATGAGAAGTATTTTGGGGTTTTCTTCTTGGTTTGGTTTATTCCCTCCCACACCTCACCCCAAATTGATCAAGTTTCAGAATGTCTTTTGTTACCTTTACTTTATCCACAACTGGTTTGTTCTCATCAGGGTCAGGCTCCCTCCGTCCCAGGGAATCAGACAGGAGATCTAAGGCTTCATCCATCTCTTTTCCTCCCTAACAAAGTGCAAACACATTTGTGAGTGCAAATGTGCTGCAAAAATATTTGACTCATCAAGCTAATTAAGTCCTGACTAATGAGCTGTCAATTTCAATGAACAAAGAGCTCTCCCTATGTAATTGCAATGTTGTGCAGTAGCTGGGGAAAAAAACCACAGAATATTTAGACCTACAGAAAACATAATTTTAAGAAGGGCTTATGGGATTTATTTTAATGGTTTTTGTTATATGTAAGCCTAACCTCTGTAATGAGAACAGATCTATAAAATGATGGTTGTTTGGCAATTGCCATTCACTTTGTAAACATCAGTTTTTATTCAAAACCGGGTCAAGAAAAAAAAGACCACAAAACCAACTAAAACACAGTTAGGTGAAGGTTTATATTCCCCCTCCAAATCAGGCTGGAAACATTAGTGGAAGATCCCTCTGCATGGATCAAAATGGAAAAGGAATGAGCAATGTTACAATAAATGGCGGGAAGGGGAGTTCTCTTGGTATTCAAAGGGGGTCATGGCACTGCCTGTTCCTCCATTAACCTTGGACTTCTCCGTTTATAGGCTTGACTTGGCCACTGCAGTGATGACTATGTTGGGATTATTTTAAATGTTCTCATTACCTATGTGGAGAAGGGGAAAGAAAGGGAAGGAGAAAGAGGAAAGAAGAAAGGGAAAAGAAGAAAGGCAAAAAGGAAAAGGAAAAAGGAAAAGACAAAAAGGAAAAGGAAACAGGAAAACGAAAAAAAAAGGAAAAAGAGGAAAAATTCAGCCAAAGGCTCAAGCCTAAAATTGAAACCACTTGCAAAGAGGTGACTGCCTGCATGGACCTGCAGAAAGGAAAGACACATCCCCCAATGTCCTCAGTGACCCTGAAGGACTTGGCGTGAGTTAGGAGCTTCCAAAGGAATCTGAAACGCAGCATTAACTGGAACTTGGGGAGACTGGGCAGGCCAGTCCCCAGTCTGTTCAACGTGGAGTGTCCAGAAAAATCACACTTTTTTTTTTTTTCTCCTCAGGGGAACATTCTCCTTCCCTGCAGCAGCCAGTTATCAGCAATAAATGACTGAACTTTGCAATAGCCCATAATAGTGGAACTGGCCAGGCCATGCTGCTGTGTCTTCTCATTTGTTTGGGGTAAGGACCTACAGAAGGGGTTACTTACTGAGGCAGAAGACAGTGGAGCTGCAGAGTGCACTGTCGAAACTGTAGCAGCAGAGATAACATCCGAGGAAACCACGGGCTTCCCACCCTCCTTGGTTTTCTGGAACAGTACACAGTGCCATCACAAACACAGGAGGAAAACATGCATCAAACTCCACACATCTAAAACACAGTGCCCATGCAGTTTATTTCTAGGAGTTTATTTTTCTCAGCAGCTTTAGTTATTTCAGATTGAAATCCCCTCCACTCTGCAACTTTTCTGCATCTCACTTTGTTCCTCCATCTCAACTACTGGGTTAAACCTTGGCACAGCTAAATCAGAGGTTTAACATGACTCCAGAGGAACTAAGAATTCACCAAGGCCATCCACATTCCCAGGTAACACTTCTAAAATTCTCAGTTGCAAAGTATTAGTTATGCAAGCAACTGATAAAAAGATACAACAACTTGACTATTTCTTTTTCCTAATCTTCTATTAGTTTGCTGCAAAAAGTATTTTAAATTTTTAGTTACTGGACTTTATGTAAGAAACTTTACATAAACTTTGAAGGAAATATGTAAAATGTCAAGATTATTCAAACACCTTGAAAATAAAACCAATTTTCAGAAATCAAATATACTCACCTTTTGTACAGTTGACGTAGGTAATGGTGCAGGTGGTGATGGAGAACAGGAAAATCCTTCTGTCAAACCCTCTAAAAGATCATTTTCACTCATTGGCTATCATCAAAAAGGAAAAACAAAAGAGGCTTTTAAGTGTCTTTATCTCTTAAAAAGTGAGCAGGTAGCCCAGTCCATTTTTAAACTGAATACTGGGTACTGTTAGTGACATTTGCCAGTAATTCATGAATGGAACAGTTATTTGCATATTCACTTTTTTTACCTGTGGCTTTTCTTCCGGTTTTGGTAAGAGTCGTTTTCCATCTTTATCCTACAAAGAGAGATCCCTTGTATTAAACCAAGCAGTCCTTAAATAACTCTGCAATAGCGGTACTCTGGAAGCATTCACTGAGCAACACAAGAAAGTGATCTAAGTCACCTCTGGCACCTACTGTTGTTACTCAAAGTGCCACTTAAAAAATCCAAGTCCTGTAGCTTAAGAACACCTGAATGCTGAGAAGTGATTCAGGGAGAGGGACTCTGAGCTTCCCCATTTTGCGTTCCCATTTCCATGGAAATAAAACAATTAATAAATAAAATCTCAGCTGTGGCACATGTTGTGAAAGCCTTGGCAAGACCTAAACAACCCGTTTATGTCAAATGTGTGTGGTGATGGAAGAATTGCTTTGGGTTTTTTAACAGCTTTAACCAACCACAATTTATTAAGTTTTAAAATACCAAAAGCTACTCTGCATCAGAGTAATCTCAAACAAAATTAATCATCTGCATCTAAACCACCTGTATGCAACTAATGATAGATGTCAGATATTTGGGAACTATGAACTGGAATTTCTGAATACTATAAAACTGGCTGAAATGAACATCAACATTTCAAAATAAAATGGAGTCTCATTTCATCCACATATTCTGAGGAATGAAGGGAAAGTAAGACTAAGACAACACTTTAAATAAATTACTTCAGCTCCTGTTAATGGAGGAATAGTTTCTTCATCTTCACCCAGTTTTTTGTGTTGTTCTGTTTTGGTTTTCTCCTATGAAGGCAAAATAGAAATCATAGCAAGAAAAACAACTAATTACATCCCAAAAGAAATGCACATGAGCACGCTTCTAGCCTTCAGTCTACTGATTCAAATTAAGTCTTTTTCATTCAATCCAACTGCAAATCTTATGAAAATTAAAAGAAAGCTTTTTCTCTTGAGAAAGCCTTAATTTCTCTGCCTGTTTTTTCCTCTGTATATCATAAGCAGTTCTACCTATTTCACTGAAGGTGACATTAGTAAGTTAACAGACAGGCATGGACCAACAACAAAACACTGTAACACCTCTTGAGTCCTAATTCTTGACTTTTTTGGAAATCAACTCAACAGCTACCTGGGCTGCATGCAAACAAAGGCTGACAGAGAAATCAGTAGCCCACCTCAAAAAGGAGCAGCCTCCTCAAAGTTATGTTGGAAAATAACAGTTAAGGAAAGGGAGTAAAGCCAGTTTTGGGAACTTTCACTTGACAGAATTGCAGAAGGGCTGCTTTTTCTGTTTTTTGACACCAGTCAATTCCATCTGGGCCATGGTTTAGCATGGCACTGGCGGCATTCAGACTGTGACTATGAACAGCATTCATAGACAGAATACATGTATTTCAGTGACTTTCTTATGACTCCCAATTTAAATAACAAGATCAAGGGCAAAGCCCAAAGTTTCATGCATCATCCATCCCTAATTTAAACTACTCATAATAAATTTGGTTCCTTTAGGACAAAGACCATACTGTGTGCTACCTCTGCGTGCATCTTAACTCTGCTTAAAGCATAAGAAAATGCAGTTTTCAGAATCTGAGGGAACTACTTTAATGCCATAGTCATAATTATTAAAATAGTGCAGTCACTGTGCTGAAATACTACTAGTACTTCCTAAGCAGAATTGAACTGGTTTCAACAGTAATTTTATTTTAAAAGTGAAAATATTATATCTATATTGTATCTAGCCTGAGGAAATACAGTAATTGAAGGCAATTACATCAACAGTCTATTTTTGAGGTCTGATTTTTTTTCCTCTACCTTAACTTTGTCCATAGCAGGATTTTTTTCACCTGGATCAGGCTTCCTCTTTCCCAGGCTGCTGGACAAGGCTTCCAGTGCTTCATCTGCTACATGACCAACCTGTGTGGGTGTTGATACAGAAAAAACAATTCTTACTTTGGAGTTCGGCTGCAGCTAAAGAACACTGTTTTTGTTTTTTTCCTGCAGTACATATTTGGTTCACAAACAGCATCCTCTTTAGAGCATTAAGAGGTAGAGGAGACCACAAGAACTGCCAGTTTGTCTTCCTCTATGAAGAAGGTCACTGACCTTCCCCACACAGTTCATTTTTTCTGGAAACCACTCAGCCTTTGTGGAGGAAGAACATGCGATGCTGAAATGAGCATCTTGACAGTATGTTCTGCCATTCCATAAAGGAAGCACTGAAGATTTGTTTTAGCACTAGCTGAAGTAGCTCCACCACTTACTGCAGACAGGGCTGGTGGAGCTGAAGACTGCACCGTGCAAGCTGTGGCACGAGGGACTACTTTATTCTCAGTGGTTTTTGCAGACACAAAATCTGAAGGCTTCTGAAACAGAAAAATTACACTGTAATTTACTGAATATGCTTAGAAATACGAAATGTCTTTTTTTTTCCTAAATAGAGAACTGAACAAGACAGAAAAGTCTAAATTTAAAGGCAGAAGCTGCTCAATTAAGAGCTGAGTGCCAATACTGCATGTTCCAACAAAGGCAATAGGGAAGGAAAAATATAAAGAGAAGAAAATATTTTTCTTGAAAGAACAGTAGCAGTACCCAGTCTTAGCAAAACTATCAGTCTTAGCATCTTCAGTGAACTAGAAAGACATACTTTGGATATGCTGCTGGGCTTTGAAGGTTTGGGTTGTGCTGCAGGCTGTGCAGGGAAGGCAAAGTCCTTTGAAAATTCATCAACAAGATCAGATTCACTCAGAGGCTGCAAAAAAACCCATATGGGATACAGGTGACTCACTGCCTGTTTTTAATTTATTTTTTCAAGAATTGTATTTCAACTACTCAGAAAGAAGGAAAATATTTGTAGCCTACACTGAAATAACCTTTCACACTTATATACAACAAAACAGCATGAACTTCCCACTGTATAAAATGAAGAAAACCACATTTTAGAGTAAGTCAGTTGCTTTGTCATCAAAAGTCAGTATAAGGTAGAGAACTATAAAGATAACATGAAATATAATTCAGAGACCCAGATACATAACGTTCAACATTGTCTACAGGGCTACTTAAAAGTACAACCTCTTATAACAAATACAACCTCTAAGTACAACCACTTAGTTACAAAAAAATGCTAATATTTAGGTAGTATTTACTATAACAGCATCGTGCTGTTATAATACTTCAAGTATAAACTATATACAGGTAGTGGAAAGTAGCACCATCAACCCATTTTAATTTTTTTTCCCCAGCAGAAGTAGAGTTCCTTCAGGGGCAATGTCACCTCAGAGATCCCTCAGCTTGTCTGCTGACTGCTGACACTGTGCATGTTTTAGTGAATAAAAAATGAAGTTTTAGTTTCCTACAGCGTGTCTATTACTGTATGTATTGATACTATGTGATCTAGTACTATGCAATCTATATACATATACCTGATGCTCCTGGGATCCTCCAAACTACTGTTCACAGCTGAATGTTTAAATCTTTGCTAGCAGTGGTGACCATTCACTTGCTACGTGCAACTTAAATGGTTAGAGAAAGATTCACAATGGAAAAGAAGACATTTGTGAAAGAGAGGCTCCTATTTTCCCTCCCTCATTTCCTCCCTGAAAGTCTTTACAAAATGCCTCAACACATAAGACCTCACTTTTCATAATGTCTTAAATCCTCTCTCAGACACTAAAAAGAGGCATTGAGGTAAAACCAATTTTTTTTTCACAAAAGTTATTCCACTGCATGTGCTTAAGGGTATGCAGAGTGGAGCACCAGAGCAAGACAAGCCCGAGCTGAAATCCTGATTGAAGGATTTGCGTTCACCAGAAATCATGGAACAACTGTATGTGATTGAAAGTATCCAGATATTAGCATAGCTCTTTTTTTGTTTTTCTGATTTTGGTTTCACAGAAGTAAATTAGTGGTGATACCACAGGAATACTGGTGAATACTTCTTGCTCAAAGCCACCTCATTTAAATTACAAGCAGTGAAGAGATGCTCAGAAAAATATTGCAGTACTCCTGTGATTCACTTACAGAACAAATATTCAATTGTATTTGTCTCTCCAATTGAGAGAACCAGAAGAGCATGGGAATATTATTTTTCTACCAACCAATTAAATTCTTTTGGCATAAGACCTCATGATTCTGAGCTTGTCTTCTGGTTTTACACAGGACTTTAGACAAACTGTGAACTGACCTCCCATCACTCATGCCACGTTCTCTTCTGAAACTTTTCTTTTTTGTGTTTGCCATCTCCTTTTTGCTCCCTGTGGAACAGGAGGGCTTGTGTACTGACAGCAGGGCCATAGCTGCTCACTTTTTATATCATGACATGCTTGGCAGGTGTTCCTCCTGTGCAGCTCTCACACATCACCTTGACTTGTCTTGTCTAAGACCTGACACGCAAATTTTTAGAGACAAAAATCTTTTCACCACTGCCTTTGGCATTCCTACACACCTTAACCTTGTAGGAGGTTCTCACTGAGATTGGTCCTGACCTTCATGCTCATTCCAGAAGAACGGAGGTTTCCTGTACTTGTCCAATTTTTGGCAGCACTCCTCAACTTAAAAAACAGTATTTCCAAAGTGAAGCCCTCAGTTTCTTCAGTGCACCGTTCCTTTGCTTTCTTCCTGTCCCTTTTAAATTAATCTTTGCAACTTTCTCTTTCAATATTTTAATTCTCTCTTGCACTTTTCTAGGCCACGATGGACGCTGTTTGCAAAGTCCAAGTTGGTCTCTGTGATTAGGAAAATGTTCACAGCAGCTTTTTTTCTTTCTTTCCAGTCATGTTTCTTTATATTAATCACTAATGAAAGGAAACTGTCAAGAAAACACAAGATTTTCCTGCTTCACTTCTCTTTGTCCTTTAACAGCTCCAACAGACATCTACAGAATACCTTGTGCTAACTTCCCATACAGCCTTTCTTTGTGTCAGCAGTAATTTCAGCAACTCTCTCATGTCTTAATAGTCTCTAGACTTTTTCCACACTATGAGCTCTTCGTTCACAGCCAACGCACTTCAATAAAAACAACTTCCACTTGACACTTCAGATCAGCAGGTTTTGTGGAAAGAAGCAAACACACAAGACTTACATAATGGCACAGAGAGAGATGAGGTGACAGAGAGGGAGAAAACAGGAATGTCCAGTCACACTCCTACAATATTGTCAGTTTTCTAACCTTTGGTTTTTCTTCAGGCTTCGGTAATATTGGTTTTCCATTCTTATCCTAAAAGTGAATTAAGCATTACTGACATTTTTCTATTGCTTTAAGTGCCATACTCAGTAATCACCAGCAAAATAATGCAAAATAAATTCCACACACAAGATTAAACTAGTGACACAGTAAAAGGAATTCCCCTAAATGTGGAATCTTTACATGGCCAGGTAAGAGGATAAAAGAAGCAAATATGATGTCAGCACAATACAAGAGACCAGTGTTCATTCTTTTTGGTGTCAACATGTAGCAAGAATTAATTCCATAGTAAACCAGCAGATATTCATCCAGGAGTAAAACAAGCTTTGACTAAACCTTCGCAATTCAACAAAGAGGGAGTGAAACCACAGGGCTGCAATTGGGCAGTCCTGAAATCTCTAAAAAGGGGTATAAAGCTGCACCTTTCAATACCCAATATTAACATCTAGCTCCAGCAAGGCCAGTTTATACAGCATCACAGAAACTTTCAACTCTGAACTTTATCAAAAACACGTCTCAGTTTTGTTGTTGATTTGCTTAACCTTGAAAAAATACCCATCCCTTGAAGCAACAATCCATTAAAAAAAGTGTACTTTTCCTACCATTTCACATTAGTGTTTCAAGGTTACATTACTGAGTGATCCCAAAGAGGACTGCTGTAAAGTGATTTACTGAAATTTAGTGTAAGAAACAAGAAACACCATTCTTGAAGAAGGAACATGTCACCTGGGAAGATCAGATCTTTGCTAAGAATGCCTGAAAAACCAGTCATGCCCACAAAGGAAGGGGAGGAAATTAGAGGTACTGAAAACTTACCAACTCTGGAGTTAACCTGTATTCTGGAGGTATTGTATCATCACGTTCTCCAACCTTTTTTTCTTTTTTCTCTTTAGCTTTTGCCTTAAAAAGAAATAACATAATAAAAACCACATAGAAAAAATTAAAATAAGAACCCCAAGTACACTCAACTTCACTATGAAGATTCTTCACTCTACTGTGTTCAGAAGAAGTAGCATCAGATGAAATTATTTCATATATCAAAATACTGAAATTCCTCAATTTATTCCTACCAAATGTCTGTGGTAAAATCATAATGGTTTAAGATTAAATGTCATATGGGAATATGGATGCATTATTTTAAATCCTAAAAAAACTTTAGACACTATTCAGAGCTCTAACTTTGTGGCAGGTACTTTTAGAATTTTTGTGTGTACAAAGCCCTTGGGTTTTCTTGCATTTCATCACTGATTATACAAGGCATAATTCTGTATCTTTTTCCATCACTGGCAATGAAATTCAGCTTTTAATTCTCTGGACCTCCTCTGTGAAGCAATGCATTCACTGAGTTACCAGAAGGCCTAGACTGATTGAATCTGCAATGAAGCAGCTCTTCTTTTGTCAAAACTGAGCCCAGCAACAGGAGATTTTTTTACTATTTCATTTGTTTGCTCTGAGCTATTGGTGAAGACAGGAGAAAACCTGCTGTTAGTATGGTTATAGGCAGAGTCTGCAAAACTAAACTAAAAAGTGAAAGTTTAACATGCAAAACACAGGATTACTGTCAAAAATCTTCTGAAGAAAAGTAAAACTCTTAAAAGACAGTGAAAGGCAAGAGTCAGATGAGAAAGAAAATGGGGTTTTATGGAAAAAAGGAGTACATGCACTGGAAGTCAATTAAAAATCAAACAGTAAATATGTGCAAAATGAAAGCTGGCTATAAATTGTACCCAGTGCAGGGGGGGAAAAATATAGAGCAATTATATTTACCACAGGGGAAGGTGCATGTACGTATGTTTGTATAGCCAAATGATATGCTTATAATTTCCCAGGCCATCTGATTATGTTCTATTCTATCTGTATCCACTTGGAATTTCTTAATTTTTTAATTTTCTTAATCCCTTAAGACTCACACATTCCTTAGGCCTCTGATATAGGCCTTTCTTGTTATTTTACACATTTGTACAGGATTGAACAAAGAGGACTCAGGATTCCACAGGAGAGTCTAAAAACTAGGGTAAAAAAGGAGTAACATGTTACCTCTGACGCCTCTACAACAGGCATAGGATCTTCCTCTGGTTCAGGTTCAGGTCCTCCAAGAGTATCAAGGAGAGCTTCCACTGCATCTTCTTTAATTTCCTGTATTTAAGAAAATATGCAAACCATTTAATTATCTCTCTAAATTTACACAGGTTTTACCTTATGTATTTTTGTGCTTTATGTGAAGCAAACAGCCAGCACCAGATTCATCATTCTGGTTTGGCTTTACCCAGTTTCCTTAACATCAGATTCTGTGACACAACTAGCACAGTCTAATCAAGACATGACTTCTCTTGAGAAGTAAAAAAAAACGGGGAAGTATAAAACCCCCCAGTGTCACAATTTCATGTAACACAACTGTCATGTGGTTTGACATGGCAAACCAAGGAAGTGTAAGGTCGCACTCGCTCTATACAGAGGAAAAAATAAAGGTTTGTAAAATATGGGGAAATTACACTGTATCCAAGTTTTATACACCTTATTACATAACTATTTTTCTAATTTTTCTATGGTACTGCCTCTAGTCATAAGAGCCACAGTCATTCTAAAGAATCCAGAAGGAAAATCATCTGACTCACTAAGGCTAAATCTTTAAGACAGGGGATATCTGAGCACTGGCAATTCCTGTTATTCCTATTGTTTCTATGATAAAGAGGATTTGCAACTGAAAAATGAGAATGATGGGTATCTTTAAGGATCAAGCACACATAATATGGCATGTGCCTGTAAATTTTAATTACACGTTAACTAGTGAAAGAATGGCTATATATACCTCATTTGATTTTGTTTTCTTCTCCTTAGGAGGAACTGAGGTCTTGACTGAACTTGCTGCTTGAGCTTGCACGATTTCTCCTTCCTTACTTTGTTTCTGTGAGAGAAATGAAATTACAGGCAAATTTGCAAAAGTAAAAGGAAGTGGAAAATTGTCAATATCCCTTTATAATGAAATATTAAGACCATAATGGCAATGTTTCATGCAATAAAGGTCTGCAATGGCAGGAAAAGTATCAATACCTCTGTCAGACTGGTCTTCTTTTCTTGAGCAGAAGCAGTACTACAGGTAAAGTCAGATGACAGGGTCTCAGCAAGCTCATCATCTGTCATTGGTTTCTGAGCAAGAAATTGCAAACCAAGTTATGACTATTAAAGTTCAAATATCAACCCTATCAAGCTCCGTTTACAGTCTGCTTACTCAAAAAATGACCTCACTGGCACGTGTCCCTGACACAAGAAAAAAAAAAAGGTATTTTCCCTCACTGGTTGATTCGTTTTTCAGATAAGGTTTTATTTTAGTATGTTAAAGTTACAGACAGTAAAATTAAGCTGGTTGGTAGAATTCTTTTTTTTTAAGTTAAGTGCAGAAATCCAAGTAGTCTTTGCTAAAGACATTATAGAGAGACTCTTGCATGCACAGTTTAGTATTTCTACCCTTTGATCTTATTACAACCAATATCTCTGTAAGCATTTATTTGAATTGTTTCAGCTTCAGTGCCCTGAAAATTTCTTACACTTTTATTAAAAACATCTGTGCCGAGTTCTATTTAGTTTTATCAATAGCTATGTTATCTGGCATTCCCACTTCCTGGGATTTTTGGAAAACAGTTCAACATTTACATTTTCCTAGGAATCCAGTGGTTACTTTCACCTTCCAGTACAAAAAAAATAAATCTTACTTCGTTTGGTTCATTTGCTTTTGGTAGGACTTCGTCTTGGCCTTTGCTCTAAAATGAGAATTAATTTTATAAATGGGAAGCAAAAACATACAAATATGAAAGGAAACACGCATGAACAATGTATCTTGTAACTCACTGACCTTCAACAATTTAACATACTCTGGAGGGAGACTACCCTCCCGTTTACCCATTTCTTCCAAGTATCTTGAATATATATCATCTTCCTGTGAAAAGAATGCACACATTAATGTTTGTGCACTGCTCTTTACTGAAATAAATTTCTGATGTAGAGCTACCTACAGTGATACTTCTGGAAAGAAAATGCAGGGGTTGGCTTTGTCAGAGGGCCAAACCTGGACTGTGACTACATAATGTCTTTCAGTATCTAGTATCATGGACATGCTTCAACATATGCTCACCATCAAGCAGAACTCTGCATGTCCATTCCCAGATTATTCTGCATTAAAATTTAAGCAATTTCAGTATTTTAGACCAGAGGATGTATTGCTGTACTTTGTCTGATTTTTATATATACTTATAAATTCCAAGATTTTTATCATGGTTGAGTACTGTACTGAACCACTGAGCTTGTAATAGTAATCCTTCTCATGTGACTCTCCAATTCAGACTCAGAAAGGTGTGCATTCCTTTCCAAACTCTCAATGTTTTACTCTTTCTCAAGCAGAAATGAAACCTCTTAGGTTGTTTACACTCTCATATACCTCCCTCTGTCACTGCCTTTTGTAAATCCATTGCAGACCACACTTGGGAGTCAGCTCAAAAAGCAACAACCTTACTTTGTTGACACTTCCAAGTTTTTTCTATTCTAGTAGATCCAAAATTGTATAATTTCTGTATATACCGAAAACAACACTGAAATGTAACTGTGCATACTCTTAACTCTTAGCAGATCACAGTGACAAGTACTGGATCAATGTAGTACTGAGCAAGTACAGTCATAATTTGGGTATGGATCTTCTAAGAAGTAAAAATGCAAAGTGTAGAATACCGTAACTTCTGGACCAGTGTAAACAGGAGTAGTGGGCACATCTTCAGGTCCACCCAGGGTATCTATTAAGCTGTCCAGTGCTGACTCATCCATACTAGCCTACAAAATAAGCAAACCATCAAAGAAGTTATCATGGTGTACACAGCAAAAAAAAAAAAAAAAAAAAAAATCCTGAAGCATCTGGTGAATCTCCAGAAGACCCCTGGAAACCAAACCAAACCCCTTCTTTCAGTAGGACATGCACCATGTGTGCATTTATAAATTTATAAATTTTTCAGTCAGAACTGTTTTAAACTTGTTCTCCAATGTCAGTAACAAGATAATCTGTATTTATATATCAGCTGATATAGATGTACATATATGCAAACATAACTGAAGAGCGTAATTAACTTTAATTGAAAGTTGTGGTAAAAGTGATTTTAAATAAGTCTTATTTGACAAAACCTAAATGACACACCAGTAGTTTTTTACCTATTCTTTCAGCTGGCCCTTCACCATCATACTTAACTACTGTGTATAAATATTTCAGCTGTTACACATTTTTTTTCTGAAAGTGAAGTGTTTCAGAGACAGATGCACCCTCTGAGACATTTTTACAAGGGAAGCCATTTGCCTGGGACTGTGTTTACCAACATCAGTACTTGATTTATCAGCTGCAGCAACCACACTTGCACCAGCTGTGCCAGCAGAAGCTGTACCAGCCACTGTGGACATCTCAGATTTAGGCTGGAGAAATAAAGAGAAAAATGAAGACATGGTTTATTTCATGGTCCTATGTTAACAATGCTAGAGACAAAACAAAATAAAACAGAGATGCTCTACTCAGGCATCCACATCTACTGTCCTTCTTATCTACACTTGGAATAACAGTGATTCTGCTGTGGGAAAGAAAGGATGTTATTTTAAGTACTCTACCTCTTTCTTTTACTTTGTCAGTAAAAGAAATCTGCAGTGCAGAAGGGCTACAAGGCCCCTTCCAAGTCTCTCTTGAAAGCCTTCATTTACTTCTGACAGCTCTCAATACACCATTAAAGCCAGAAGAAATGGTGCTTGAGCAGGTGGGGTGAGAAATGCTGCAGGGAGTCAGGTGCAGGAGCAACACCACACAAAATGCAGAACTTCAGCATTGCTGACACTCATTTACTGCAGTAAGTGGGATGTAGTAGAGCTACAGGAGCTCTTCATGCTACCCAGACATGTGCAGACCAAAAGATCCAGACCTTGACTCTACCACATGCTTTTGCTTTGTATTTTTTCTCCACAAGTCCACCTTTGAAATTACCTTTGTGACAAAAAGTGTGACATTTCTAGGTCCCAGGTTTTAGAGCAGCACAAGGATGTTTGTCATACAAACCTTCAAACACAAGGCAGCCTCTGTGCTTTTCAACACTGTGATTTTGGGGGCCCAGTCTCACCTGATAATATTCAGCTTAAGAATCCACCTTGATGTGGATTTCAATAGCATGAATAATAAAAATTGGTTGTTGCTTATACTTGTACCTTTGCTGCCTCTGTGGGGGTTGGTTGTGGAGGCTGGTCAGCCTGAGTTGTAGCTACTTTTTCTGCATTATTTGGTTTAGAAGCTGTTGTCACAGAAGGTGAGGTTTGTTTTTTTGCCTGCGTAAAGATAAACTGCTATTAGATAGGAAGGGCTGGCTTTTCATTTCTTTTAAATTATTTTTGAAAATGAAAGACAGAAGAAAAATACCAGACACATCCCTCACTAAAAAAATAAAATTAAGGGAGAGAGAAAAAAATTATACAACTTACTTCACTGGGTTCCTTTTGCTTCTCTTCAGACAGCTGTTTATTTTGAGAGTCTGTTGGCTGTCATGAAATAAAATATTGAGATTATTTACCCTCTCCACCATTCAGTGCTATGGAAAGTGATCTATGCTAGTTCAAATAAACACAAAACAGATTTAAAGGTGGTTAACAAAACATTTCTTTGGCTGTCCTGAATTAATAAAGCATCCTGACTGTTCCCCCCAAACACCACATTTCCACCCAGCAGCTCCCAGCTGTTTTGTGCACAGGAATGTTACTGATCACACAACAGTTTCATGTGGCACAGTAATAGCAAAGAGTTTTGCCTCTAAGTTAGTAAAAGACCAAAGTACAACAACTCTGCAAAAGTGAAAGTTAAGTACTTACCTTGGCTGACTGGGTGTTTTTTTCAGATCCTGCTTTGGTTGTTGGTGCTGACTGAAATATAAACAATAAGCAGAAATTAATATGCTTGATTATTTCTAAAAGGTTGGCTTATATAAAGCAGAATATCAGACAGGTTCACACTTGTGAGCACACATGCTGTGTAACCAATACACAGGGCTTTGATCTTGCAGTTTACAATGTCCTGGCAGAAGCTGCCAGGCCAGGATCTCTGAGCATTCAAATGTGTAGAAACACACACTCACACACACTCCTCATATGGGGGATTGAAAGGAGACGGAAAGAAGAAACTAAATATAATGAATGAGCAGTTTGATTTACTGACCAAAAACCCCCCAAATTACCATTACCAAATTCTGAAATCATGACAAACATTATTTAATAAATAATTTATTATTTTTCAATAAAATAATTATAAAAACACACAGTCCTTATGGAAAAGACATTAATGACTTAGATTCAATAGGGTATACACAGAGGGGGATAGATATATGCAATCAGTATCCTTATACTAAACACAACAGAAATTTTTATTTTTCCTCTCCTCTGTAACTTCCTAATCCTCATATTTTACAACACAGCTGAACAACCTGGCTTGGATAGTTATTAAATAACTGCACTTCCAGGATTTACACCTGACAATTTTCTGCAGCCATGCCACAAAACTAATTCCTGTGATTCACTTCAACTCAAAGTACAGTGAGCAATAAATTACTACTACCAGAAACATGTAAGAACTAACACTGAAAAATTAAAGAATGGTTATAAGACAGGAAAACAAAAATGCCAGCCTCCTCACCATACTTTTCTTATCATTAGGTGGTAATTTAAATTCTTTCATTGCTTTAATTCTAGGGTAATCAGAGGTCTCCAGAAGAGACCATTCAGTCCAACCTTTCACCGCAAAAGCACAATCTAAGCAAGATGGCTGAAGATTTTTCTGGCAAATTTTCATTACCATTCAGACATATCCAGCTTCTGTTTTTCATACCTGACAACACAGAGAAATTTGCTAAATTCATTTACCACTTGTTGGGCAAGTGCTCACACCCACATACTGAACTACAGACAACTTTGTTGGGAAATCCTGAAGATGCATTAAAACTGAGATGCTGTAAAACCACAGTAAGGAACACACATCCACACACAAGTCAGTCACCACAGGAAGAACACTGATGGAGAGGGAGAACAAAAACTCACAAAGTGAGGAAAAAAGTTAAAAATAAATTTTAAGAAAATCAAAACAATCACTTAAGCTCTCAGACTCATCCCTCCATCGCCCCCAGATTGCCTGTTTTGTATTTTCTTTTGATGCCTAACATGATTAAAACACAGCATTTCTTGGATTCAGTCATACTCTCTATGCTCCCACTTGTCCATCCTTTAACTCAAAGACACACACACTCATTTTTGTACCTGTGCATTAAACAATCCTACACTGAAAGGTAATCCTAAATTTTCACAGTTTTTAAGCTAAGTAAGGTTGGATGTATTTCTGTAACATCTTTAGCAAAGATGAGACATGAGATGTCCTTCAGTAGTAAGACTGCAAAAATGGGACAGAAATGCAAGGATGAGGTTCAAGAAACACAGAGTTTGACTTTTGCTGCTGTGGGACTGCTGCCTGATGAGGACTTTAAGTACCCTGCTGTCAGAGCACAAATTCAGGTTTTCCTTATATACTTTTCAGAAGAAGAAGACCAACATATCTTTTTTTTGCAGGACAATAAAATATATGCACTTGCATTTCTGCCAACACCCTACAAAACCTTCCCAGAACATTAAATACAAATTCTCAACCTGCCAAACCAGTTATAACCAACTGCAAGTCTTTTTTTTTTTTTAAATACTGTAAATATTTTTTTACTAAATACTTAATGCACCTCTTGCGCATGGGGTATGCATTACTTCTTCTTCTATCTTTTAAAATGTCCAGAATTGCTTGTACTATAAATTTATCTATGACAATGCTGAATATATGGACCCATGTGGGGGTCCACATGCTTTGTTTCAGGACTTACACACGTGGGGATGCTAAGGCCACACTAAAATTCATGATCATAAACACACACGTGCTCTTCTACACAGACACATCTATTTAAATACACTTTTAGCAATGACAAAGTTCAAATCCGATTAAAATCAGCAAGCAAGTAAAACAATTTTAGTAGGAGACTATACATTCAGAGGGAACTGTTCAGTCATCCTTTAAGCAGAGTCAGCTGTGAGCAGCCACAGCCTGAAGTCATGGCATCAGTTGACAGTGTACACTGAATTCCCATGGAGAAAAAGATGTTTCACCTCCCCTTCAACTGCCTGCTCCCATCTGCTCTGTGGCAGGATCTGAGAGAAGGCATTTTAAGCTGACTCGGGAAAGTGAAAGATAGCCTGGAAAAGAAAACAGTATTTTTTACCTAGTTCCCTACTTTATACATGTAAAAGAAAGAGAGCTGAACAGGATGTGTTTTTGGCAGTGGCAGCACTTGCTTCCTCTAATCCCCCTGCAGGGGTGTCTGGTCCTCCAAACTCTCCATCTAAACCCAGGCTTTGCCTACAGAACAGGAAGTTTCACATTCCTTCCTCTGCTGCAGCAGCTCACAGCTTTCTCAGAGAGACATAATACTGAAGGTTAATTAGAGACAAAGGATACACATACAGAGAAATGAAAGCTAAATAAATGCCCAGAGCACGTTTAAGAGTAGTGGTACACTAGAAAGACTCTAGAAAAGGCAAATGAGATGTGGTTACAGCAGGCAGTTGGGAAGGAGTTATCAATTTGTAAGAAATTTAGGACTAGATATTAAAGTGACTCAGCAACCTTACTTCTTTTCAAAGAAGTCTACTGTCAAACACGCAAGTGACTTGCTTAATCCAGTAGGAGAAAGACACCAATAATGCAACAGACATTAAAAGAAAACACTAATTATCTTAACACACGCAAATGCGGGACACCTTTTCAAAGGGATTCGTGTTTACCAGTCTTACAGTGCTTAAGAATGCCTCCACTCCTCTATTTTTGGCTCATTTACCATGTTCTTCTGAGAGTTATTTTAAATTTCAAGTAGGGAAAGACCATAACTATTTTCAGGCAGTAGTCTGGGCTAAACCATATGGAGAACTGCAGCAGTAACGAACATGATACAAATGAGTTTACTCACCAACATAACAGGAGGAAGAAACCAGAGACTTGCAGATACCTTCATTTATGAGTAATGATGATTGTACACAAATGGAAAAGGCTTAATTGTCATCCAGCTCGCTGCTATCAGTCTAAGTCTTAGATGTGTGCATGGAGGAAAAGAGTTTTAAAAGGTTGATGGAAATGTAATGACTAAGCTCAACTGCAGAGAAGGTGGAGATAGGTGCTCCACCTAGATGAAGATACATGTCAGAATGACCAGAGACAAAAGTTACAGCAAAGAAATTTCCCATTTGATAAATGGAAAAAAATCATCATAATGATGCCGCAATCTGGTTGCCCAGATACCCTGCGTAACACACTGTAGGTGTTCAAAAGGTGTTTGGCAGTGCCATTTACCTGCAGAGTTGGCTCTGCCTGGTCGACAGGACCTCCAGGGGTTCACCCTGACCACTCAGGCCTTTACACAAGGTGCAGGTAGCCTTTACTTTTACTGCCATGCAAGTCCCTGCTGGCCTGCTTTGGTATTCAATGTTTTTGTTGGTCTCACTGCTAGGATTGTGGAAAATGAAAGAGGGGGAGAGTCATTAATCATTTGTTTACACAACACAAGTAACTTCTGCTAGGCAATGGAAGTGTAAGGGAGGATTATGACTGTCTTCTAACAAGTAACGCACATGACTGATGACACAGCTCTGACCAAGTCAATTCTAGTCATAAAACAAGACAGAACAGGCACAAAGGACAAAGACAAAGGAACCATCAGACAGAGAAAGATGGGAAATTAGTGAGGAGGTGCAATCGCATATACAGAAGAAGCTGAAGCTCGTCCTGAACTTGCTGAATATGTGAAAAATTATAACCAGGTAAATAACACTGCAATTACACTGGAGGGAGCTATATACATGTTAACAAAGTGTGACAGAGCTAAAATTAAACACTGTCATTAACATTTTGTTTTTTACTGCTATCATAAAAACCTCTGAATAGCATTTATTAGATACCTTTTGCAGAGGGAACTAAGCTGCAGATAAGAAATACGGAAAGTAAAGTCACTCAGTATCCAAGAGCTAAAAAAAGAAATTCCATGGCTTCATACTTTTGTGTTTAACTGCAAGCACAATTTTTTCAGGAATTCTTACCCTGGTTTCAGATGGTTTCATAATTTGTGGTTTTGATGCATCCGCAGAGGGAGACTGCTTTTGAGAGAAAAAAAAATAAATTAAGCAACTTTATCTTTGTTATACATTTGTATTAAGCAAGCATAAACAATCTGAATTCATCAGTTATCCAGCTAAAAATTAAAAAATAGAGTTATCATTTTAGATCTTTTGCCTTGCCTGTATTTCTGCAATACATATATGAAGAATTTTGACAGTGTGATGATGCCCACTGACATGTAATGATAGCAAATTTTGCATCCTGTATCAAAACAGACTCAAATCCTGCTCTCACACTGAGGCACACACACTTACTGTGCAGGATTTGTCCACACTTATTCTTTTCTTTTTAGCAAAAAATGTACTTTTGGATTCACTAATCTGTCATACAAAATATTTAATACTAAAGTAGCAAATTCAAATATGTTGAGATAAAAAGGAATACTTAATATCTATCTAATACACACACGCACAAATGTTTCTACATATCACGTGACCCTTTTGCAACTCTGAAAAGGACATGGTCTGTTTCCCTAACTTCTGGGATGCCAATTCAAGAAGAGCATGTTGTACTTCTGTTGTGGCTGCATCAAACTTCAAAGTCCAGAGATGAATATTCCAGTTGTCTCATCAATACTTTATACAGATGTAATACTACTCCTCTATTCCTGTTTCGCATTCCTCTGCTCGAAGCTGTGTTTTTCAGTATTTTGTAGATGCTCTAAGGTGTATTCTATGATTCTATGATTTGCCATCTCCATCACACTAACAAAAGGTTTTCAATAACCCTTTAATATATTTATGTACCATCAGGTAAATTTGTAGGCAACGAGGTATTTTTCGTCATTCACTCTTTATTAGTTTTGCCTCTCCTTTTCTTTCTTCTCCAAGAAATTAATCTGAATTCCTTCTACATGACTAACAAGTAGGTATCTGCTCTACACCTTCATATTAGTCATCCTAGTCCCTGTCTATTTAATAAAAACATTTCTCTGAGCCCTTCTCCCTTCCTCCCCTCAGAAAACTCCTACCAAACCACTGTCTTACAATGCACTGAAAAATTCCTTCCCAAGTCCCAGCACAGCAGCACCACTACAGCCTGCAGAGATTAGCAAAAACCTCCCAAAACCTCAGCTGCTTCTTTCTGCCCTGTTCAGCTGGAGGGCAGTGACCAGGAGAAATAAAGAGTGTAAATGCTCATGGAGGAAGAGAAGTGGTTTGAAAGCAGAAAAACAGTTCAATGCACAGCTGCTGATCAGTGGTTGTGGAGAACACTGAGCCTTGTGGACACTTGGGGTTGACTCAGGGAAACAAAGCCTTGTCCTGGGGAGTCAGACAGGGGAAGAGCACACAGGGAGCACCACGACCTTCCCTCACACCACCACAGAGTGCCTCGCCTCACTTACTTTCTGCCTGAATTCCACAATACTCAAGACCTCCAATTTTCCACTCTGTCCCCCAGAAAAGCCACTACAAGGAAGAAGGGGGTCCTTGTTCTTCCAGTCCTTTAGCGAGGGGGTTGTGCAGCCACACTGAGCCTTGCAGGCTGACAACCAAGAGGCTGCTGAGGTGCAGTCCTTCATCTGGTCACCCTTGTGCCACTTTGTCAGCGCCAGCCTGGCTCTGGGGGTCATCCTCTTACCAAGGTGCCCTGGTGCTCCCGTCCTCAAGGATCCTGCCAGCTGTGCCCACTTGTTCTCTGCAGTGTGCTGCAGCACCACAGCCAGGCTGCAGAAAGGGTGAAGCAACACTCAGGCATGTGTCAGGCGTGGAGGTAAATATTAAAGTGCTGCCTGGCAACCAGCATAACAACAGCCTGACCAGAGCTGCTCCAGCCCGGGCAGACACACCCTGCTCGCTGCCATGGAGGGGAATCCCACTGTGGCATGGGCCAGACACCCCCCACTGAAAGGTTGGGATGCCAAACAGCAAGGGATGGACTGGATCAGGAGGCTGGAGCTGGGGAGAGAGAGAGGGGTGTCCTTTGAGCTGTCAGGGATCCCTGAAGGGCACAGCCAACAGCAGAAGGACAAACAAGTGTGATCAGTGCTGATTCCTGTTCTCTTGCCTAGAATGAGGCATGGGTCCTGGCGGGTGTCGTGCCAGCCCTGGCCATGACCCACGGTGGGGTCCCAGCCTGAGGGTTGTCTGTCAGACAGTTCTTCTACAAGCTGAGAGTGGAGGCAAATCCACAGCAAAATATCCAGGACCACAGGTAGACCACAAGCAGGGAGGAATATGGAGATGCTCCCTGCATCAGACTACCACAACCACCACAGAAGGGACTTGAAAGACAGAGAAGAGGTTACAGGATAACAGTGATTAAGTAAAGACTGATCCCCTGTTAATGAGTTGTGGTGGGGGAAAACAGTTTTCCTCCTGAAGCTATAAAATGGTAAACCCCCAGGGGGTGGTGACCCTTGAGGTTTGAGCCAATGAGCGCTTTTGCAAAATATGAACATACCACACTTAGATCGGAAAACAAAGTAGTTGTAGTTGCTGTAGAAGAAGGAGCCATGTTGTGAAAGCCATGAGCTGAGGAGCCCTCAGCCCCACTGGGGGTTGAGCCCCCCCCAGCCCCGGCTGGGGGGCTGCAGGGACTTGGAACAGTGTTAAACTGGGCTAACTACCTGTAGCTGAGAAAGCTGAGAGTTCTTCTCCACCGTGAGAGGGCAGACGGAACAGCGGCAGGAGCAGTGTACGGAGGGCAGAGAGCCAAGAGATAAGGGAGAAGCAGCAAACAAGCATGCAGCCGAGCAAGAGAGACACAGACTTGTCTAAGAGAAAGAGAGCCAGCAGCAGAGAGAGCAGAATTAAGCTCTACAGAGAGAGAGAGAGAGAGTGTTGGGGTAAGAACTGAACCAAAACCCCCCAAACTCCTTTTGTGACCTCTCCTAAGTGGAGAGGATGGACTCCTACTGAATGGAAGTCCTAAATGGAGCATGCACTGCAGAGAGGAGCTGAAAAGCTTAAGGTTTTCCCCGAGCTGGACCGGGACGGCCAGAAGGAATGCAGAGGGGGTGACCCTGGCCGCCCCCCTGCTACTGCCAAGCTGGCAGTTTTGAGACAAGAGCACAGGAGCTCTGCAAAGGGGGCTTGAATCCTCTGAAGATACGGATCGTCATGAAGGCTTCTGCACTTCATTGATATGATGTGGTGAAGCGACCTTTGTCCGGGTGAACGCAGCCCACGGAAGAGAAGACCCTCGCTTGGAGACAAAGGGCCGAGAGGGCTTGGATACCCCCCTCGTGTGTACTGGCAGAGATCCAGCTACAGCTGCTGCATGAAAGAAGAGAGCCTGTTGCCTTAGAGACACTGCTGCTCTGAAAGTAGAAAGAATCTCTTCCTTCTTCCCTCCTGGACTTTTATTTGGAAGGGAGAAGAGATTTGATCCATTGTAAATACTGTTTTATCATGGTAGAGATAGTTGAGATTGTGTGTGTGTAATGTACTGTAATATTTATTTTGTACAGTCATTGTAATATATTCCCTTCTCCCCATTTTGAGTCTTGCATGGTATCTGGAAAACCCATCTCACACTGGGTTGAGATGAGGGAGGGGGGCTAGGACTCGAGAATTGGATTTTGGGGCTCTCAAACCATGACATTATGCCACCCTGGCGATGGGCACTGTGGCAGCTGTGGGGTCACAGCCTGTCCTCTCATCAGCCCACGCAGCTGGCAGGACAGGCACAGGAGCTGACCAAAAAACCTCAGGTGTTCTTGAGCTAGAGAATGGCTTTCCGGGAAGAGCTGATGAAGAAACCTGGGATTTAATCTGAAATTTGTCTTTATGCTACTGTTGAAAGAGAAAAGCCACAGAAGCCAAGAAGTGAGTTAGTAAAACTCCACAAAAAACCTACCCCAAATTGGTTGTCTAGTCTCACTGTGTGTACCTCAGAAATCTGCAAGTAAAAAGGAAAATGTGACAAGAGAAGAAGAAGAGAGAAATGGTGACAAATACCAAAAGATAACAATTTTAACTGCTCAGATGATTGGATGTAGATGCCTTTTGGGAAAAGAAAACAGCAGGTGAAGAAATTCATGACAGGTCTTGGCTACAGATAAAAATCACTGAAACTACCCCATATGCAACACAGTGAGAGATATTGCCAACTAAAACTTTAAGTTCTGGAAGTTCATGGAGAAGATTCATCAGACTTAGGATGGTCACTGCTCACCCTCAGAAAGGAGCACAATGCACAAAACCACAAGAGATGCTGAAAACATTTGCCAAGCAACCCGTACAGAAACACTTAGATGATAACAAGAGAATAAATAAGAATGAACAGTTTGGCCAGGAATAAAGCAATGAACCTTCAGAGGACATGCTGTCAGTGCAACTTTTCACAGTACTTGTGGTAGTATTTTCTCAATGAAACAGGGAAGTTTGTCAGCTTGCAGCCTGAAGGGATCTCTGACACTGGTGGTAGGTTGAAGACAATCAGATGCAGCAACACAAAACCCCCAAAGCAGCAGCAATACTGACAAAAATATGTGAAGGCTATAGTGCCATAGACTGAGACACTATTGCCAAAAACAAACAAGGAAAGAGCAATCTGGGGGAAAATAATATGTTACCGTGACAACATAAATGTAAATGTGAAATATAACTTTCAACCTTTTTGACGTGACCTTCTCTAGGTCAAATGCTAGGACAATTTTGGCCATCACATTGAAGCACATATGGATAAAGAAAGATCTGAGGACAGATTTAGGGGGAAAAAATGAAGAAAAAGTATGTATGAGGAACAGCTTAGTGACAGGAAAAGCAAGTCAGCACATATCTTTTGTACACTGGTCAGGAAGCCAATAAAATGGGAAACAAAGAAAAAACTGACTTACTCTGTAACAATCTCTCAAGTCAGAGCTCAAACATATTCCTCCTAGAGAGAAGGAAGAATTCCTTCTGTGGCAAAGACTACTTAGATGATGTCTCTGGCCCTGGCAGCCCTTGAGAGAGTTTATATAAGTCTTTTCTGAGTGATCTACCTGAACTCAGACTAGAAAAGAAGACTGAAGAGCCATCCAAATATTCTT